CTTTCAGCCCGAGGGAGGGCTGGTATCCAGCCTGCCCTGGAGGAGGTGGGGAGCAGTGAGCCCTTTTTCCAGGCAGCAAGGGGGCTGCAGCGTCCGTGTCCACCTCCTCAAGGGCAGTGGATGGGTGGGAGGGACGTGTGCCTCATGCCAGCCCCAAATGCCAGCCATTCTCCAGCTCTGAGCTCATGGTTTCGGCTGCTTCGCTGCCGGGATGAGGGCTCTCATGCCGAGCGGGTCAGTGGGGTGGGTCAGCAGCTCTCCCTCTCCCAGGGGCTGGCTCTGCCTGGGGACAATGCTGAAGGTCTGAAAATGATGCAGGGGCAAAGCCTGGCCTGGCTGCCTGCAGCCCAGAAGTGTCAGGGCTCAGGGGAGGGTGCAGGGGAGCAGCTGGGGCTCATCCCAGCTCCAGGCTTGCCCAAGTCTGTGGGTGCCTGGCTGTACCAGGCGTCCAACTTGTGGCCGTGCAGGTGGGCAGGTGCTTCCAGTGCAAAGTTGCCATTTCCTGTGTGCGCTCGGTACAGCTTCCTGACTCCATTCCATGCTTATCTCTGGGGCTTTCACCTGTTTTCCTAGCACCTCCTTTCCTGTGCAGTGCTTTGCACATCCCTCTTTCCTTAGTGCCATCTGTGCTGTGCCGATGGGATGGGCAGGAGCCAAAAGCTGGCTCTTGGCGTGCTCTGAGTTGGCTAGTCCTGTGAGCTGGGAACCTTTGCTGTGATGGAAGGGCTTCTGACTGCGTTCTGGGGCACTGTCACCACATAGCCCCTCCAGACAAAGGGTATTTTGTGGGCACGGCATCGCCCTTTGAAGTTACCTCACTCGCAAAGCTCCGTGGCTGTTACCAAGCGGCACTATCTAGGGAGCTGTTGACACAGCTGGCTTCCTCCAGCCTCTTGTCTCCAGCGCTGGTACCTGGGCTGGGCCGTGAGTGCTGAGGCAGCTGGCCCTGTTGCTGGGGGACAGACGACTGTCCCCTCCTACAGGGAGCCCAGGTCCTGCATGCCAGCCCAGTCCAGGGTGTGCAGACCCCCCCTTGTTTTGTCACATGCAGGGCTGGTGGTGGTGGCACTCCCAGCTTTGCTGTGACACAGCCCTTGTCTCTGCCATGCCTGGCTGGGGCTGCTCTGCCCTCAGCTCCTCAGGAAGCTGCTCTGTTCCCTGTTCTGGATCGATAGCCATTACCTTTCCCTGCTGCTCTGGAGTGTGGCCAGGAGCTCCATTACTGCTGCAGGCGAGAGGGTTGCTGGGCTGGGGGGGAAGGTGGGGTGCTGGAGTGGGCAGGCTCTGCTCGGTGGGGATGCGGGTCCCTGGTGCCGCTTGTGCTATGGATGGGCAGTGCTGGGTTTGCTTTGGCAGGAAGCAAAGGAGAAGCGAGGGGCTCACCTTGGGTGTGCTGCAGGGGTAGGTGCTCCCGCTGCTGAGTTCTGAGTTCCTGCCTGGGTGTCAGAGTTGGAGTTTGGAGAGGGAGGTGAGAGTCCCAGCTGCACCATGGCCGTGGTGGTCAGGGACATGCTGCCTACCCAAAGGGAATTGTTGCGTTAGAGGGGAAAAGGGAGCAGTGGGGCTGCAGCTGGCTGGGGCACCTCTCCTGATCTGCTGCCCTGGGCACCCCATCCCACTGTGGAGGCACCTCCTTCATGCCCCAGCTGACAGGTTGCTGCAGGCTCCGGACGGGGCCCTGGAACTGGGCCACAAGAAGGTGCAGCCTTTGTGCTGCCAGCTTCAGTCACCAGCATGCAGCCCCTTCCCCTGCCTCTGCTAATCTCCTGATGCCTCCTTGCTGGCCCTTGGGGCCAGTAGAGTGTGGTGGATGCTGGTCTGGAATGCTGGCTCATACTGGGGTGGATGTGTGCCCCAGGGTGTGAGGGGGATCAGCACTGGCCCAGAGATGCAGCCCCTTCCATCCCCTTCCCTGTGCTTCCTTCCCCTGATGGGCTCTGTCCCACAGCTGCAGCCAGCAAACTGGAGGTCTCCATGCCAGCGGTGGTTGAAGTGGAGATTGGGGGCTCGGCCAGAATCGAGTGCAACTTCTATATCCCTGGAAATGGTTCCTACACCTACATCAACTGGTTCTATGTGAGTGCTGCCCTGGGAGAGGAGTGGTGGGTGGTGGGCTGGGGTGGCAGCTAGCCTGGGGTGGCAGCTAGCCTGGGGCTTTCTCCCGGGCTCCCCATCAGCCCAGCGTTGGCCCCTCGCCTTGCAGATTGACCGCAACGACCAGGTCAGGCTGTACCACATCACGGGCAGCGACATCCTGAGGGAGAACGTGGACTACAAGGGGCAGCTGTCAGTGGGGGAGGACAAGGCCCTGACCATCAGCAAGGTGACGATGCAGGATGCCAAGACCTTTGTGTGCCAGGTCGGGACGAACAGCCATGGCACAGGCCAGAATCGCACTGAGCTCCACGTCTACAGTGAGTGATGGGGCAGGAGGGCAGCATGGCTCTGCGGGGCTGGTGGGAGATCCCATCCTCCTGATACGTGTGGGGTGACTTCTCTTTCCAGAGGTTCCTGAGGCCCCTGAGATTGTGGCCAACCCAGCAGGCATCTCCGTGCTGAACAATGAAATCTCGCAGGTGAGGAGAGGCCCCACACAGGGGAGAGGGAGGCTCCCAGCCACACCAGGCTCCTCAATGCCCACGGAGGCACCTCATGCTCAAGGCACTCTCTGCCGCCACAGATTGCCCAGTGTGTGAGCAGGAACAGCTTCCCGGCCCCCAACATTACATGGCACAAGAATGGGGAGCAGCTGGAGGAGAAGAGTGAGTTGGATGGGGATGGGAATGGGGACAGAGATAGGGATGGGGAACTGTACCTGCCTGCTTGGGCTATCCACAGCCTCACTGGCTAGGCACTGGGAGCCTGTGGCCACCCAAAGGAGCCCTGTGCTTCCCAGGAGCCCTCCTCTCTCCCATGGCTTCTCCTAGGACTGGGAACAGCAGCTGGGTCCCCTGTAGTGAAGATCCAATCCACACGGACCCGCGAGTCGAGCGGGCTGTACACGGTGAGCAGCACCCTCTTCGACCATGTCAGCCGGGAGGACCGCAACTCCCTCTACCACTGCACCGTGCACTACTGGCTGCGAGGACAGAGGCATGCTGTGGAGTCACGGCGAGTCAATGTCACCGTCTTCTGTGAGTCAGGGGCTGGGGGCCGTGTCCAGGGTTGTGTGGTGGGGCTCATTACCAACCCTGCTCCCTCCTCCCCCAGATCCCACGGAGCACGTGAAGCTGGAGGTCATGCCATCCTCGGTGCTGGTGAAGGAAGGGGACAATGTGCAGCTGGTCTGTGAGGCTGATGGGAACCCACCACCCATCTTTAGTTTCTATAAGAGAGAGGTGAGGCTGGAGGGAACCTGGGCACCTGTCCCTTGGCAGACATCTCATGTCCTGGCTGCTTTTTGTTCCCTGCCCAGAAGGCCCTGGCGAGTCAGATGCAGCGGCTGGGTCGGAGGGTGCCTGTGTGGGGCTAAGAGCTCTGCTTTCTTCCCACTCCTGCAGCTGGAGAACAAATGGCACGAGCTGTCATCAGTGGGAGACGCTGACAGTGGAGTGCTGAAACTGAACAATGTGACTAAGAGCAGCAGTGGCCTATATAGATGCCAGACCCTGGGGTTGGATGATATGAGACAGCTCGAGAAAGATGTGGAGCTTGTTGTGAACTGTAAGTCAGGGAGACGGGTCCCTGTGGATTTTGTGGTAGGTGCCTTGTCCCTCCTGCTCACGCTGCCCTGGCCTCTGTCTCTCTCCCAGACATTGAAGGGGTCCAGGTGAAGATGGAGCCATCCTCACCCCTTCAGGAAGGGGATAGCGTGAAGCTGAGGTGTGATGCCCAGAGTCCCGTGGCCCTGGACTACCAGTGGAGGGATGAGAAGGTGAGCAGGCAGTCAGGTACTGTTGGCTTTGCCCAAACTGGACAGAGCCAGGAACTTGCTTGCTTTATCACTTCTGAGAGAGGCCAGGGGTAGGATTCCCCCTTCCATGGACCTGCATTGTCCATCGATACCTCTTCACTTCCTGGGCAGTACTGCAGGGAGGTCCTGTGCTTGCAGTCTCCCTCGATGTGCATAGGAGGGGCTTGAGCCCCTTCAGGATAGCTGCAGAGCCTGGGGAGCTGCTTGCAGAAGCGCTGGTGCTCAGGGCTCATTGCTGAGGGGTATCCCTTCCCAACAGGGCATGAAAATTGCAGAAGGGAAACAGCTTTTCCTGAGCAACCTCACCTTTGAAACCTCCAGCAACTTGAGCTGCAAAGTGATTGCGCCGAGCGTGCCGGGGCTGGAGCAGAGCAAGCAGGTGGCTGTGGCTGTTCGAGGTAAGGACTGGTGTGTGTATGGACATGCTGCCCTGCCAGAGCCAGCCCCGTCCTGCCCACCGTCAGCCCCGTTCCTCACCGAGATCCACGGCTGCTTGATGTGCCCTCCCCACAGGGAAGCCGCGGATTGTCGCTGTCAGCTCCCCTTTGTACGTGCGGCAGGATGAGGTGGTGAACCTGACCTGCAAGGCCATTGCGTTCCCCAGGCCCTCTGTCCGCTGGAGTGTCAACGGGACGGTGAGAGCGGGCGGGGAGGGTGCTGGGTCTGGGCTGTGGTCTCTCAGAGGGCCTGTGCGTTGCCTCGGGCACTGAATTCTTTGTTGCCTCCTCACCTCGCAGGCTCATGAGTATATTGAAAATCAGCACATTGCCAGCAACCTGACGGTGCGTGTGAACCGTGACCTGATGCGCGCGGGAGCAATGTGCAGGGTCTCCAATGAGCTGGGTGCCATTGAGGAACGCATCCAGCTGCTGGGTGAGTGTCGGGCACTGCCCTCAGCCCCAAGAACCCAGAGAAGCGTTGGTTCCCCTCACACGGGTGCCAAGTGTGCCGTG